CTATCTAAAACCATACTTTAGTCATTACTAAATTATATTATGTCCCTTACCTGATTCTGTTTCTTGAGGTTTTGGCATGTGTGTGTTCACCTAGTTTAAAAGCTTAAGCTAGTCTAGAAATGACGATATTATATGTTTCTGGGATTGATTTTCTTGGTTTTTCGTATGCAGGCTTTGGAAAGTGAGTCTGTTATAAGGAGATTTCATTCTGTATATGAAAAATTAAGCCAAACTTTGGATGGAATGCCTTATGAAGAACTTGGTATTTCAGATGAAGAGAAAGAACAGGTCAGTTTAGTACGAAGAAAAATGTTTTCCTAGAAAATAAGTGGTTTTCTTACTTATTTTCACGGTCTGATACTTTTCAGGTGGAGTTGATGATCATTCAATTTAAAAGGTCTAAGAAACGAATTGATACTCAAGATATGGAACTCGCGATGGATTTGATGGTTTCATTGTCCACGGAGAATGATCGAAATGCAGATAGTGCTAGTATAGAAAGGCTAGCGAAAAAACTGGAATTGCATACAGTTGAAGATCTAAAAGCTGAAATGATATCAGTTAAAGAAGTTATCAAAGAAAGACGATCACATAATGCTGAGAACACACAACGAATCGTTGATCTTCTAGATAAATTGAAAAAATTAGCAGGTATGGAAGAAACTGGTCCTTGTGATGAGCCTGTTATGCCTAAAGCTCTTGAGAAATCAACGTCGATAGCTATACCAAACGAGTTTCTTTGTCCTATCACATTACAGATTATGGCTGATCCGGTTATTATCTCAACAGGACAGGTGAGTAAATTTGTTGATTATACCAAACGAGTTTCTTAGTGAAGTGTGACTAACTTCTTTTCACTTGCGATCTTTTGCAGACGTATGAAAGAGAGAGTATACAACAGTGGTTGGATTCAAATCACCATACATGTCCGAAAACGGGGGAAACTTTGACACATTTATCATTAGCACCAAATTTTGCTCTAAGGAATTTAATTGAAGAGTGGTGTTTGAAAAACAACTTTCAACTTCCAGCAAAAGAGGCTCCAATGAACCCCGAAAGTCCTTCTGCTGGAAGTGATGAAAAGCTATTGTCGTTGATTAAAGACCTGTCTTTTAGTCATTTAGAAGTGCAGAGAAAGGCTGTAACAAAGATCAGAATGCTTTCGAAAGAAAATCCAGAGAAACGAACATTGATAGCTAATTATGGAGGAATTCCACCACTCGTGTTGCTACTTTCCTATCCAGATTCCAAAATCCAGGAACATGCTGTGACAGCTCTTTTAAACTTGTCAATCGATGAATCAAACAAGAAACTTATATCCAGAGAAGACGCGATTCCTGAAATAATTGAGATTTTGCAAAATGGAAGTGTTGGAGCTAAAGAGAACTCTGCAGCAGCATTGTTTAGCTTATCAATGCTTGATGAAAACAAAGTAGCTATAGGTTCGTTAAATGGCATCCCTCCGTTGATTGATCTGTTAAAAAACGGAACAATCAGAGGGAGGAAGGATGCTATTACTGCACTTTTCAATCTATGTTTCAACCATGCTAACAAAAGTATCGCGATCCAAGCTGGGATTGTAGCACCATTACTTCAACTACTAGAAGAAAAACACTTAGACATGGTTGATGAGACATTGTCAATATTGTTGATTCTCGCGACTCATCCAGAAGGCAGACAGGTGATTGGAAAGCTTTCATTCATCGAAACACTTGTAAATTTGATGAAGGATGGCACTCCCAAGAACAAGGAATGTTCTGTGGCTGTGCTTTTCGAGTTGAGTACCTATAATTCAAATCTTATGCTTGCTGCCCTTCAATACGGCGTGTATGAATATCTAGTAGAGATAGGTAAGGAGGGAACTGATCGCGGCCAAAGGAAAGCAAAATCAATACTACAACTTATGACCAAAACTGAGCAGATACCATATTGACAATGCAAAGTCTGCTTTGCATTTGGCTTGTTCATGTAGGTCGACTTGGATCCATGTCCAAATTAACGAATATATATTTGTTATATATATATATTATATAATGTAAGAAAAAGAGAGAAAACACGAGTGCTAATAGAACTCGTTGAAGGGTTGTGTCTCTTCAGAAAAGATAAAAGAAGTCCTAACGGAAACTCTGTGAAGAACTTTCTGCAATGATTCAAGGCAAAGTTAGAAGAATTTTTGCAGGAATATTTCTACTTGTAATCCAAGTATGATCATAGACTATGTTACTCGGACTTTTCAAAAATGTTGACAGGTGCATGTCAGGTACTCCAAAAAAATTAGTGCATTTTGGAGAATCTGACACGGGTGCAACAACAATTTTGAAGAGTCAGAACAATATAGATCATAGATTGTGAACTTGCATTACAATCTAGTGTTGATTAGATGGATGTGATTGTTTTTATATGACTAATGAAAACAAATCAATGGAGAATCCTGGGAGAATGTGTGTTGTTGAGATTGTAAATATTGTTTTAGTTCTCCTTGTACATTGTTTTTTCTTCTTTTCCTATTGAAAGCTTGTAAATTATTAAATAAAAAAATCAAACCCCTTGAGAAAATCTCATTTATTTTTATTTTTATGCTACTATTGATTTTGCAGCAAATATGAGAACAAATCATTATATTTATCAAGAACAATACATCGATCGTTTGGTTGGTGGGATAAGAAATTCCAAAATATTACATGTAATTATTTTAACCTGCGTTTGGTAATACGTATTATTTAGTCTCAGGATTATTTTATCCCACGAAAACGTTTTGTTGACACATTGTGATGAAAGTAGAGTTACAAGTACAAATAACTCCAATATCAAAATGAGTTGTAGCTCATTGTTTAATTTTGGTAAATTCAAGATTTTATTAACATTAATAAAACAAGTCTTAATTATGATATTTCATTTAAAAATTCAAAAAAACATGGAGATGTAACATTGCTAAACATAAGTGAGCTACATTTTGAGCACCTCCAAAAGCAAAGACGATTACAAAACTTAGAGTCAACGAATTTAGAACAAATATGATCATATCTACATAATATATAGAGGGTAATATAGATATACTTATAACCTAACAACAAGACACAAAATTTTGAAAAGTTAATAAAAAAGGAAAAACAATTAGGCAGTTTGGTATGGAGAGTTTGGAGGCTAAATTATGGTACTGTTTTAATATTAACAGTTTGATGTTTTGACTTTTGAGTATTGATAAATGACAATAAAAATGGAAAATATATTAATTGGTCGAAAACCACTCTCAATTTAAATATTTAATTAGTGCAACCAATTAAATGTAACTACTATTCACGTATATGTGATTCTATATACGTTACAATATATATAGACATGAAGTTTAATTGAACAAAATACTTTTAATATAGGTTATAAATAGTATATAACTATGCGAAAAAATTTATATAGTTTTTCTTAAAGAAAAAAAAATGATCAAAGATTGTAATAACATCAAGTGGTAAGAATTTAAGTTTGACTCATCCAATTAATTTAAAACTTGAATTCGATTCTATCCGATAACTATGATAGCATGAGATACCATATACATGATAGAATAGTCGTGATTTTCGTGAATTCGATATATATTTCAGTGAAAGATAACATATACATGTTAGAATAGTTGTGGTTCCAGTGAATTCGATATCTATTTCAGTGAGAGGTAATATGTACAATTGTACATGTTAGAACAATCGTGGTCCTCGTGAATTTGAAATTTGTATTAGCGTGAGATAACATGTACATATTAGAATAGTTGTAGTCCTCATGAATTTGAAATTTATATTAGCGTGAGATAACATGCACATGTTAGAATAATTGTGGTCCTCGTGAATTTGAAATTTATATTAGCGTGAGATAACATGCACATTATTAGAATAGTCGTGGTCCTCGTGAATTTGAAATTTGTATTAGCGTGAGATAACATATACGTATTAGAATAGTCGCAGTCCTCGTGAATTTAAAAATTGTATTAGCGTGAGATAACATGTACATGTTATAATAATTGCATTCCTCGTGAATTTGAAATTTATATTAGCGTGAGATAACATGTACATGTTAGAATAATTGCAGTCCTTGTGAATTTGAAATTTATATTAGCGTGAGATAACATGTACATGTTAGAATAGTCGCAATCCTCGTACATTTGATATCTTTATTAGTGTGAGATAACATGTACATGTTATAATAATCGTGGTCCTCATTAATTAGAATTAGTATAAGACAACATGTACTGGTAAGAATAGTTGTGATCCTCGTGATTCGTGAATACGTATAAGTAGACCTGAACATAGTCCCAAATTTAAAAAGGAATCGATTCACACGAAAATAGTAACCAGACCTATATTGCTCAAATTTTCAAAAAAACTAGATAGGTCTGTGGCAAAAACAATAATAATTCACCAACAACTTTTAAATCGAAAATCTATCAAAAATAATCTCTCTACTCCACCAATATAGAAGTAAAGTTTATATACATACTATTTTTTTAAAATCACACTTATAAAATTCATTAATTATATTATTATTGTTATTGTAGTTGTTCACCAATAGTTAACAGACTATTCTACAATTAAAAAAAGAGTTTCATTTAAAGAACATTTCTCTTGCTTTCCCATTACTGTAAATAAATAATAATAAAAAGACAAAAGAAGTCACTAAAGTCTTGTGAATCCATCAAATTCTGGTCAAAGATCATGTCAATTCAAGTAAATTAACTACTTTTAGGGGCATTTTTAGGAAATACTCAATTTCCTCCCATTATTTACTCGTCTATTATATTAAAAATATATTTTACTTTTAATTATTACTTTTAATAAATCAAGACAAAATCATATTTTTATTCTCTACAATAATTATTTATTTTCTAAATTAGAGAATATTATGTAAAATTTATTTTTTTAAGAGACGCGTAAAGTTTAAAGTGGACTTGTTTGGTAAAGGGATAAAGTCTTGTAGATATTTATGATGATTTTTTTTAATTAATAAATGAAATAAAATTCTGCAACTTATTTATTTCTTAGGAAGTAGTAATAAATATTTGGAGCCAAAGTTGCCTCTTTTGAAACCCCTCTCACTGGCGCCGTCTCTTCGTCTTTGCTCACAGTTTCTGATTTACACCTTTTACAGTAAGTATTATTTCAGCAATTTCACTTTTTTTGAACGATATATCAACCAAAATGTTTCGATCTTTGTTGCCATAAACCTTTTTTTTTTTTTGAAATTTGAAATTTTTTAATGTAAATTATATGAAGAAAATTGAAAAATGTGTTTTTTAATTCGTCATTCATGGTTATCTGCGAAAATTGATGATTTTTCGAGGTGGGTTTTGGTTTTAAACGAAGATTTAGTGGATTAGCTTTGTTGGGGTTGTTTATGGGTATTGGAAATTGAAGTAGATTCTTCTGGGGTAGCTGGGTGCACAAAGCATCCCGCGTTAGCAAGGTTGGGGAAGTAGATTGTGTATAGCAGAATTCATGGGTTTAATTTTGGTAGTGGGTATGAGCTTTGGGTTTTCCCTTTTTGGAGTATTAAGTAAAAAATAATTGGTCTTAAGCTGAATTTTAATTTTTTGAAATTTTGTTTGCTGTTCATCATCTTATCGAAATGGTTTGTGGGTATTTGGCATTTTTGTTTGTTGAGAAATGTTTTTATCTATTTGATGATATTTGTTTATAGATAGGAAATGTATGTTCATTTTTTACCTTAGATGTAAAAATTATGGTTTTGAATTTGTGTTGAAGGAGTCTGTTAAATATTTTGCTACAGATCTGTATTTGCTTAGCCATACATTTATTGTATGAGTTAGCTCTAATGAATACTTTTTGGCTTTAGCTTTATAGTAATTTTATGTACTTCTTTTACTCATGGAATTGGTTTTCAATCATTGTTCTTGAAATAGTTATAATGCTAAGGGTGTGTTTGGGATGAAGAAAAATGTTTTTTTTTTTGGAAAAAAGTGGTTTGGAAAAAAGTGGCTTTTTAAACTTATTTTCTAGTGATTGGTAAGTAGGCAAAAAATATTATCCCAAGAGCATTTATATGTAATATAGCTAAACATATGGAGTAGGATAGGGTGTTGGAGGTAGGATGGTCAAGGGATGGGGGTTGGGACCGTTGGTGAGTGGAAATGAACTTGAAATGTCACTTATGTAACTTGTTTACTCTATTGCCATTAGGGAAGTCATTTTCCTCATTCTTTAAGGACCTTGTTTTCCTAGAGAAAATGTTACCAATCATGGGAAAATTGAAAACATTTGATAACTTGTTTTTTTTATATAAAGTACTAGATGATAACTTCTTACAAATGAGTGGTGGGGTATATTGGCTTCTTTATCTTCTTACCAAGACATTCATCAGTGGGTCTTTCTCCTTTGTACTGGTTCTGTCTCTTTTGTCCTCTTACACAGGGAGCTGATGAAATCTACTATGGAGTGACTGATTTGTATATTTACTACTTCACTTTTGGACCATACAAACAAAAAAGTATAAGCAATTATATTTCAGCTGATGCACTGGTTTTTTCTCTTTCAGAACATCTCTTGTTATCTCATTCGGTAGCACCCAAAATATAGTTAAAGGAATTGAGTTATGTATCTTTCTGCTAGTTTTTGGTGTCTTCCCGTCCCTCCATTTGTCAAACATTTGTATAATATCTCCTGGAGATACCATTTAATGTAGTATTGTTTTTTGTAAGAATAAAGTCCACTTCCCAGGTTGCCTTGCAGTGTATAAAATATGATTTACTTACATCTTTTTCACATAGGTAAAATCTGTTAGCGACACCTCTTTCCCAATTCTGTTTTTTTTTTTGTCTTTCTACCATCTTCTTCTTCGAGTCTTCGTAACACTAAGGTAGTGGAGTATGATATATTTTTCATCTTTGCTTTCTGATCAGGCTTCATTCTGATAATTTTCTGCCTCCGAAGGGTATTGAGAATAATCTCAAAATGATCAACTCTGAACCCCTTCATAATGGTGTGACCACTGGTGGAACTGGTATGCCAGCGTTTGATAAGCAGCTTCCTGGTGTAACAAGAAAGACAGCTTTGAGAGATGTGCAGAATCAAAAAAGCAGCTTGATGAGTAACCATCAAGAAAATTCACATCTTTTAGGGGTAAGACCCATTGCAGATCCAACTAGGGTATGTGGAACTAAGAGGCTTACACCTGAGCGTCCTTCAAATACCAATTCTAGCATATCTTTGAGCAGCAATGGTACAAATGACAATATACTTAATGCTCGACGAAGATTTGATCTAGAACTAGGTAAAGGAAGACTTCAGAGCAATGTGGACAAATTTGTGGAGGCTACTCACTCAAAGAACCTGAGTCAGTTGCAGAGGATAATTCCTCAAAAACAAAATCTACAGAGGGAAGGTAGTAATGGTCATCCTCCTGTAGCATCACCAAAGCATTTGACACCTATGATGACATTTTCTCATGGTGGACCATCAATTCCTAATTCTCTTGGCAAGGCTGCTAACAACTCTCATGCTGTTCCAATTGATTCTTCTAAGCTTTCTCCCCAGCCAATGCGTACTTTGGATGTCAAGGTGGATGAAGATCAGAAATTGACAGAACATTTCATTCGTCTGCAGAAGTTCCTGAAACAGTGTGATGAAGCAAACCAAACAGAATACCTTCAGCGTGAGTCTTAGAGTTTTGTTACATAACTTATAAGCAGTTGACTAATTTCATTTTGACTCCTTGTTTATGCTGTTTGTATGATTTGTGTTTCTATCAGTGCTTTTGCATTTGTCACCACCTGAGCTTAGCAGACATGTTTTGTCTAGTTTCATTTTGACTCCTTGTTTATGCTGTTTGTATGATTTGTCTTTTTGTCAGTGCTTCTACGTTTGTCACCACCTGAGCTAAGCAGACATGCCGTTGACTTGGAGAAAAGGGCTATCCAGTTGACAATAGAGGAAGGTAAGCTGACAATGAACTGTTGGTTTTTTTTCCTACCCTTCATAGATGGGAGTTTCTGAATGGTTCATATGTTTAGATGTATGCATGTATAATGAAACTTCACTTCTTAGTTGCGAATAAACCCTTGCTTGATTTGGTGAACGACTGCCTTGTATTGATATGTGTATTTATATGCTACCTCCATTTCAATTTGTTGTCTTACTTTTCTTTTTAGTCCGTTTCAAATAGAATGTCTCTTTCCCTTTTTGATAACTCTTTCATTTCAACTTTCTATGTGACCTATTGAAGACCACAAGATTAAAAGATATTTTGGTACATTCAAGATGTTTTTTAGTTTAAGACCACAAGATTCAAAAATATTCTTTATTTTCTTAAACTCCGTGTCAAGTCAAAACCAGACAAACAAATTGAAATGGAGAGAGCATGTCTTTATGACTATCTGTAAAAAAGTGTGGCTAAGTCTGAGTGGACTTTATTCAAGGTTACTAAAGTCCTTGAATCTCCTCTTGGATTTTGGTAGATGTTGTTACATTGGCTAGTTGAATCAAGCACCCAACACTCTCCAGTGCATGACATGTTATTATATATTCTAATTATATCAGGAAGAGTATTTGCTCAACTTCTCATGCTTATATTAGAGGTTGACATCCCCTTCCACATCCTTCAGTGGGAATATGATCTACTTGTGTGGGGAAGCTGTATGCAAGATGTACCTCCCCTGCCTTAGGACCAAGGGCGGAGTCAGGTGGGTCGAGGGGTTTGGATGAACCTGTTTATACTTGATCAAAGTTATTTTTCATTGTATACATAGTAGATATTGCACCCCCTTTGGCTTCTTCGTGTGTTTACTTCTTTACATTTTGAACCCCCCTTAGTGAAAATCTTGGTTCCGCCACTACTTAGGAGGTGATCCAATTGAAACACACAGAATGAGAGTCTGGAGGTAGGTACTCAGCCATCTTATGTGCACAATGTGGAAGTCCGAGTACAATAAGGTTTCAAAGCTTACATAATCGCCACTTGCTTCAAATGAGTCAAGAGTGAGTCTTTAAGCCTTGAACCTAACTACCTTGCGAGTTGTTTATTCACACTAATGGTATCCCTTCGTTGTTGGTAGTTGTAAACATTTTCCAGATCTGTTGAGAAAGTACAGGTAAAAGTGACCAACACAAGAACATTTCAGTAAAACTTCCCTTTTCTCTATGTTTAATGCAGGAAAGGAGATGCAACGAGTGAAGAACCTCAATGTTTTGGGAAAATCCGCCCTGTTTTCCAGCTTAACTCAGACAGTTCCCTTAGTCCCGACCAAGAAATGATGAGCACGAAGCTAATGGCAATAATTCGTGTTGCACTGATGCAATGCCTGCTTTCAGCCTTGTACTCCACAGGGTACAAGATCTTGAGCGGAGGCTATTGGGCGTTGGCTTCTTTAGACATCTAGTCTTTTTTTTTTATAGTAAGCTTTTTCCTTTTGATTAGCTAGCCCTCTAGAGATCAAGAAGTTATCAAACACTGTACTTTGGTATTCTTTTGGGTATAAGCAGTTCATACTATCTGTACATTGTTCCATCTACATATTTGAAGTTTGCAGATTCTTGATGGGGTAATATAAAGTAAAGTTATATACACCGACGGTAGTAAAGAACAACATTTATGCAGTTAAAACTAATTAATAGTCAAATGCTGGTAAATGTCAACACTAGTATAGGTTGGTAAAATGGAAAAGCTAGTACCAATTGTTATTAGTATGATATACAAGTGAGGCTTGAACAAGGAGAAGTATATATGAACTTTATTTCTATCTTTTAAGGTAGAAAAATCTATTTTTGATTCAAGAAAAATACAAGGTGGAAAAGATAGTAGCTTGTTGAATTTGGTCAAATAACATTATAGCAAGATTGGGGAATAACAGATTTTTTAAAGATCTTTCTAAATATAATTTCTTTATTATCGTATTCATTTTCCTTACATATTTCGATTCGCTCTACTTTGAATCTAGGGTTTATAGAAATAAGTTCTAAACTTGCATAAGATAAGAATAAAGTCTATGTATGTTCATACGACCTTTTCAGACTTTGTATGTTATTGTGATTGTGGTGTAATATAAAAGATATGAAACAACATTTTAAAACAAAGTTGCCTATTTTACATCCTTTCCAATGATTTGATTATTCTCGAATTAAATTTGTTGTACCTATTTACCTAAAGGGTAATGCTAAATGGCCAGAAAAAATTGGCCAGAATTTGGCCAGAAAGGCAAAAAGACTATAATATCCTTATTTTAATTTTTGCATTTATTCCATCATACTTTTCCCTCCAAAACAAAAGTAACTTTTTTCTATTTCCCAAACTCCTTGAACTACTAAAATACAAACTTTTTGGCTACCAAGGGAAATAAAAGTGTTTTTGTGTATATTTATGTGTGTATAGTTCATTCGATTTA